GGGGCTAGGTAGGGGAGAGTTTTCTTTGGGTGGGGGTGTGACTAGGGGCTTGGGACCCCTAGTCACCTTGATTGGGGGGTGAATTTTCATTTATGGCCCCCACCTACCGCTCAGGGGTGGGGGCCAGGAGGGAGGACAGTAGGTCCCCCTCTTATTGTTTTTTAGGGCCCCCATCCACCGCTCAGGGGTGAGGGCTGGGGGAGGAGGACAGTAGGTCCCCCTTATTGTTTTTATCAGGAAGTATTACTTTACTGAGATGGTAGTGGATGCATGGAATAGCCTTCCAGCTGAAGTTGTAGAGGTTAACACAGTAAAGGAGTTTGATCATGCGTGGGATTGGCACAAGGCTATCCTAACTATAAGATAAGGCTAGGGACTAATGAAAGTATTTTAAAAATTGGGCAGACTAAATGGGCCGAATGGTTCTTATCTCATTCTAAGATTCCCTGTCTGAATACGTTAATGTGTGGGACCAGCTTAAAATGTAAAGTAAAATATAAAAACTTTCACCGGAGCTGTCTATTTTTTGTATGTTTTCAGGCATTACTTCAAAATATACTAGATTTACCCAAATGACTACAGATATACCTCTTGTGATAAACCTACTGTAATTCATTGCCAATCCATATTAGTCTATGTGTTTCGATAGGCTTAGGTGGAGGCCTTGACCTCACATGAAGTGCAGGAATTTCAGCTGTTTAACTAGCGGGGTTCCTAAATCCAGTCTCTAAATTCTCAATATAAGACTCTCATTTGCAAAACTTTTCAGTCGATTGGCTGATATTCTCTGCAGTCCATTCGTGGCAGGCCTCTATTTATATCATTTTTTTTCCCTTTATTTTCAATGTTACATAATTAGAACCGACCATGCTATTTTTAATCCATTTTTTGTTTATTGTTAAATATAATCTATTTTTTAGGGTAATCTAACCTTAACACCTGGCACACACATCCGCTCCAACCAAATTATTGAAAATGCTTAATTTCTTAAAAAGTGAGATTAAAATAATTAGAAGACAATCTCTGAAGGGAAAGCTATTAAATTTATGTGGAGTCATTTTGAATGCCTTGGACTGTAGTACGGTTACTTTCCAATTTTTTAAGTTGTCAATATTTAAAAAAATATATACAACACTTAGTTGTAAGTTTTCATTTATCAACAATTGGTGGCGCTTCTTATTCTACTCCATCTAAAAACCTCTAATTACTATTTTTATGTATGTTGCATTCAATAGCAAAGAATAGCCCGAACAATCAGGTAATCCTAACTCTGCATGATTTTTACTATAATGTATTTTATCTTCATATCTATATATCTATATATTTTATTCAAGGCCTCTCCTGCACTTGTATTTGAGTCCACTAATTGAGCTTCTATTGTAACATTTACAAGCCTATCAAAAAAAGTCATATTTTCCTAGTATAAACGGATCAGCACGTACCTGGCAAATTGGTTTACAAATCCTCTCTTTGCGTCTGCTTCTTGTAGCGAGCTATTCATTTATTTCATCCGCTTCAGTGTCACACAACACTGAACAGTACAAAAAAAGACTATATACCTTATCCATGTGACATGATAATGCTTAAAATAAACACAAAGCTTTGTCCTCAATTAAATCCCAGAGAACTATGCTATTGCTGAAAGGTGAGCACTACGTACTCCAAATCTCATTGCGATCCTTTGATAAAAAGATAACATGAGCAGGTATCGTCCATGTAGATAAAGGGGACTATCTGGTATTCCAAACTGTATTATGTAAAAAATAAGGGCAAATTAACAAAACATTTATTCAATAATTCCATCGCATCAATGAGAACATCTGGTTTAATACAGCACATTGAGACATTGCCTGCACTTCGCGATTTCAAAAAGTTTTAATTTGTTCCTAATGACAGGAAGGGTGGTAGGTAACTGCTGGCATTTCAGAAGTTGTGGACCACATCTCCCATAATGCTGCTACAGCCATAACGCGGGGAAAACATCAGGGGAGATGGAGTCCACAAGCTATACTCTACTTGTATAAAATGTACTTGATTTGATAAATTGCATACGTTTATTTTGGGGAAAAAAACAAGAGATAAAAAAATTATATTTAACATTTCAGATGCTGCAATGGCAGACCTGACTGGCAACTCACAGAAGACGTGGGAGTTAAACTGTTTGTTAGCTGTATAGACTCCGAAGCACCAGTTAAGTTGTTATGGTGCCCGGAGTGTCCATTTCATACATTTTTCATTGCGATATATTTCCATTATTCTCGGGTAGTATGCAGCCAACTAGTGACTGCTTTCTGGACTATATCATTCTGAAGTTCTATGTAAAATGCTAATATGACATTTAGACCGTTTTCTTTGAGCTGTGTGAATTAATATAAAGATTTCCTTAGTGACGGCTTTACTTTAAGATGTTTATGTTGGTAAAAAAAACATAACGTGACTGAAAGCCCTTCCAAATGGATTTCTTTCTTTCGGTCTCATTCTTCTGTGTTCTGCTAATAATAGCACGGAAATGTCAATGAATGCAGCATGGAGGGGACTGCTGTCCATGAACCTTGAAAAGAGCAACTCGCTGAGACATTAGCACCTCTATCACTGACAAGACATGGGGTGAACACGCAGCAATCAGCCACTTGCTCTTCAATTCACGACAAACAGCTGACAGGCCTCACTGTGTTAGTAAAAGTGCAAAACAAACCTGCAAATGCCAATTTTTGGGGTGATAAATGACTATTCCATATCTCTGCCGCCTTTAAATTTGACATTTTCCAATTTTATTGGGCCGTGATCTTGACTGGCAGAGCACAAGGAATGTTTTTTGTCTGATCACGAACACAAAAAATAAAGTATAAAATGTTTAGTTCTCGTATATAACTGTACTTTGTTGTTTTGTTTTTTTTCTGTTTGTTTTTGTCTTGAAAACTAATATGTCAAGTATATATACAATGCCAAAATCCCAGAGTATTGCAGTATGACATGATACATTTTTTATTGGAATAACATAATATTTCACAGACAAGCTTTCCAGACTAATCCAGTATATATATTTACATTATTCTGTCTTCTTGAATGTAGTTTTTAGTTGGTATTTTCAATACAACAACAGAAACACAAAATCTACAAATAAACAAAACAAGCAAGAGTATTATACAGAAAAACACAAAACAAGCCAGCATAGGACATAATGTAGGGTTTTAATCAGTAAACACCAACCCTTACAGAATTAAAGCCCCCCACTCATCCCCTGACAATTTTATATTTCACTGATAATCCAAAGGAGTCAAACAGTAACCAATGAGAAATATTCTAACACTATGACTAGATATCTCGCTGGATTTACTAGGATAGACAGGATTTTATCACACAATCTCCCATAAACCAGGGTGGATGAACCTAGTCACATTCCAGATAACTACGACCACTCTTCTTAGAAAAAAAGCCACACGTGAAACCAAAACTATAATAAGTCACTGAAGCTGAAATTGGAATGAATTAAACTAAAAATTTGTATCAAATTCTAACAAGACAAATTCTTCAAAAAAGAAATCCGAGTAAAAATAAATTGCTATGTAAGGATACAGGAAATCAGAAGAAAATTCTAAAAAAAAGGTATTAAAACAATAAATCAAAATAAATATAACTCTATACAAGGCAGAAAAAAAACAGAACTCTGAATAAAACTATAAACGAGCTGAGTCAACAAAATCAGTATTCAGAATTAAAGTATAGCCAGTTGAGCTTGTAAGCCCAGAAAGCATTGTATAATCGAAATGGGCCAATCGGTGTACTGCAAAATAGATACAAAATATTAATATACATAACATAACATTATATAATATTATGTATCGATTTTACAGTGCACTGATAGGAGCATGTTCATGTCATTCGCCACAGACCAAATGAGAAAAAAAACAAAAAAAAAGTAAATATATAAATATAGATTTATTTTGGATGATCCACCTTTTCCCTTCTGTTGCTCGCTTTTTATTTGATCTGTGAATAAAATCAACATTTAGTGACTGTCCCCCTAACCATCAACCATCTATTCTCCCCACCAACCAACCATCTCTTTTTGGCTCCACAGAAAAAAACTCCAGTTCACAAATCAAACAGCATTTTCGTCCCTTGCGCAAGTCTTTTGTTTGGAGTTACAGAATTCAGTCGACCTGTCAATCAGACTAAATTCATACTAATGATAATTTAGCTGTACACGAATACACGAGACCACTAAGCTCCGTGATATAGGGCTTGATTTAATATTCTTGGATAGGCTTTTCAAATGATTTCATATTTTTGGATAAACTTTAAAATTGATTTATAAAATACAGCTCATATTTTTAAAAAAGAGTGTTTTGTAACAGAGCAAATTAACTTGATCTACCTTATTTGAGCGCAGTTTAATAATTATATATCATTATATAAAGCTATGTTAACTGCAGGCTGCATACGATTCTCTATTTGTTTTTTAATGTACAAATACAAACCTGACTAAATAACAAGATGGACAGGTTTGCAAATCCTCGTTAGAGATCACTTTTCAGCTTCGTGTATCTGAGGACACCCAATAAAGGCCCATGAGAACATTTCTGTTTGTGCCATTTTCATTTAAAGATGATACTCGAAAAATTATATTGTGCAAAAGTTCATTTATTTCAATAATGCAAAGTAAAAGGGGAATAAAAGGGTCAAAGCTTGCCTCTTCGGGGGTTCTATCTGATATGCTGGACCCATTGGTTCCTCCAGCCTCTGATACTACATCCATTTCGGTCAGTATGGCAATAATCTCCCTCTTCCGTAGGTTACTGGCTTGTCGGCCTCGTTGTTCTAGCAGGTGTTTAAGGGTAGCTCTTTTCAGCCTTTCATACGGTACTTCCATTAGTTCCGGATGCATAGTTGTCTCTCTGGGCGATGAGGATCATCCCGTCGCTTGCCACCAGTTGTTAAGTAAATAAGTGAAACCGCCATTTAGTAGATCTCCCCCTTTAGAGACACAGGCACCGTTGCTATAGACCGCCAAACTCCTGAACGGAATATAAGGGAATCCTCCAAACTCCCGAACAGAGAATCATACGAACTCCTCCTCTCCTGGAATAGGCGAAAGAATACTCCAAAGTAGCAATCCCCCCAAACACGAGACCAAGCTCCGTCTTGAGGGTAAAACAGGAATCTGCTTTAATGAGGGCTACCTGCCCGGTATTTATGCAGGTCTCCCACCTGGTGGACACTCCCCTAGGGGACCAGATGGAAGAATGGGACAAGTACATTAGCCAATCACAGTGGCTCAGACATAAACCCTCCCCTTTGTACAAGCAACCCCTCCTCTCTATCCTGGAGATAATTGGGAAGAAATCCAATTATCTCCATGGATAGAGGCAAAACGCCATTTTAAATAATACAGTAAAAATACATAAAATTCCATAACTTCAAAACTACCGAATGCATTCCACACATATAACGTATCCCCAGATAGCCTAGATCTGGGTGCATATTATTACCGAATGGCGCTCAGATCCAATACACACAGTTCAATCGCCATGGAGCCAAAGTCTTTCACACTGTTCTTTAGGTATTCGAAGGGCTCCATGGGATGGCTATCTGGGTTAAGTCCATTCGTGAAATAAAAAGTCCCGAACGGATGACAAAGAATGGAGGTCCGCGGTTTTCAGCGGTGCTCAGGAGGAAAAGTGTCCGTTTTGAGTTCCATAAGTTTGTCGACGAACACCGATGTGTATTCGTGCATCTAAGATGGCCGCCGCCTCGTGGTCGGCATACGAACGACGACCACCCAGCATACGGTTTCAATTAGGAGGTGTCTGCGGTTAATCACAACTTTCGAATTGGGGCCAATAGGTTAACCAGCAGCATACTCCTCTTCTGGTTGGCCGGCCGTTCGGCAGTTTTTTCGGTAGATTATCAAACAAACGAACGGGGAAGTACGGACAGGCAATTTTCATGAATCCACCGGGAAAGCAATATAGTTCTAAGACAGAGGGATCTGTCACAACATCTAACGTACGTTGCAGTAATTCCTGTAGTTCTTGTTTTTGCATGTCAGTTGCCTTTACCAACCATGCTCCCTAGCAACTGTTAAATAAAACCTCAGTCTCTCCACTCAGGGGCATCACAAACCTAACCAGAAATGTAATGATAGATTTGCACTGTACGTGTGTGACATCGGAAGTAATTATCATCCACTTTATATAATATTCTCCCTCCACCTAATCTCGCGCTCTGCGTTTGTGGATGTATTGCTGCTTTGTCTAAGTCGTTCCATTTATGGTTTGCGCTTTTGGTTGCTGTAGCAACACAACACCTGATCCTCACACCTTTTTCGTCCTTATTGTAATGAGCCTGGGTCACATGATAAAGTGCTAGTTCTTTTCTTCGGATTGTAACAAAGACACATTTCTGTTGTATTGATAGCAGCAAATCACTATTTGTGTTGTATAATAACGGCTGTGCAGAAAATATACTAGCGAATACAAGAGGCTCTGTTCTACCCACTATATAAATAGTAGAGGACTGGCATATTTCGCTAAGTCAGGGTTTAATAAATAGCCCTCTGCTTTTGGGCCTAAATAGCCAGGAGTTTGAGCTTAGAAACTATGACATAATATCAATAAATGCATGTTCAACGCAAAACCAATAGTAATCTCTGAAAAATAATTATTTTTAAACCTTAGTGTCTTGTTAACGATTAACGATGACGCATCTTTATCTTTGGAAAAAACACAATGTCCTACACTGGCCGAACGTGAGAAACAAGATATTAGGCTTTAACCGTACTCAGTGGGTTTGGGTAGGAGAATAGTGCAATATTTTCTTGTTCATCTTAAACCTAGACTGACACGTTGTGACTCAATGTGTCTCTTTTGTTTCTGTTATTGAGAAGCTGGACAGCACACGATATTGCGTTGAGGAAAAAAAAAAATAATTACTGACGTCAGAAAACAGAAATTGTCTTTTGAGCTGTCAAAAAAAACACATGTTCTATTTTGTACTACCTTTTCATCTTCCTTGTCTGTGCTTATCTAAGAGGATTCGGCGTTTCATTCAAGAAGAATAAGTCAGCTGAATGGAGAGACCATCAAGGCTCCAATTTCTCAAACAGAATGGATTCAAGATGACAAAACCCTTGACGGCCTGTTTTGAAACCATGGTGATTTCAGTATTTTTATCTTAATGGTGCAGACTGCTCTGACGCCTATCATTAATCCCCCAAAAAACCCTCTATCTTTTTGTGTATTTATTTTATACCAATGCGCAAAGAGATAATGGAATCAAAAATATATAAAATGTATTTTTTTCAGATTTATACAATAAATGCAATTATATATCATAATTTTTATACTATTATATAAAAAATATATATATTGGACTTTGCAAAGCACTTTTTTAAAGATATACATGAATGATAAAAGGCAGAGGCCCATGCGAGTCTCGAACCCAGTAGGAAAAGCACTCGTCCATATATATTCTAACTACAATAAGACTAACAAAATCGATGATTATATAATAAATACACAATTACAAGACCCGGGTGTGCTTTTTATTGTTTTACAAAGCAACACACAAAGCAATCTAATTTTTTTTTTTTTTATCTTGCATATCGAACATCACACCACTAGAATAATTATAAAATGGTCCTTTAATCATGGGTTTAAGACAGAAATATTTTCTGACTTTGGCAACATTGTTAGCAGTTAGAAGATTTGTGAAATTTCAATCGCAATCGCTTTGCGGACTGTTGCTTGATTCCGGCCAAAAGTCAGAAATCGATCGGTTGCCAACGCCAGGTTGCAATTTAAGCCATTATTAGTTACTGAAGTCAACTACATAATAAAATTAAATAAAAGATTGCAAAAATGTTTTCATATATATTTTTTGGGGAATAGTAAAGATTTTATTTAGTGTATAACATCATCATTTTCTATTTATTATTCACCAAAAAACACTGTTTTAGTTTTGCTTTTAATTCTGATTCAGGGAGGAAAATAAAGTAGAAAACACGAGATTTTATACAGAAACGCACTTCCTCCCCTCAACAGCTCCCACCCCTCCTATTTTTTTTTTTTTTGAAGAGCCTTCCGACCTGACATTACCTGCAATTTCTCCACTTCATCCGGAGATGTGAAGAAGGGGAATCGGGGGGAGGGATAAACACTATACTTTTCTTTCTAAAAATAAATGCGCTAATGCTGTAGAGCATTTAGCATCCAATGATTTGTTGTGGAAAAAGCAGGTAGACTCTTAAATTTTTAGCAAAAGTGCAGATTTTTTTCTTGGAACCCATAATACAGAAAGAAGAAAGCACATCCTTTATGGCTTCAGTTGACAATTCGAGATTGCACTAATTATTATTATTGGCTTTTATTACAGCTCCAACTTATTCCGCAGCGCTTTACAATATTATAAATGAGGGGGATTTAATAATAAATGAGACAACCCTGCTCAAACGAGCTTAAAGTAAAGAGGAGGTAAGGTATAAAAACACAATAATAAGGGCATTGAGGGGGACAGCAACCAAGAGACATTGTGGGAAAGTAGAAGAACTGGAGTTGAGAGTGGAGTGTGGCCCTTTAGGAGAGAACACGAGGCAGATACGTGATGTAGAAGTTACATCTGGGAGGCCATAAGCTTTCCTGAAGAGATGGGATTTGAGAGACTTCTTAAACGATTGAAAACTATTGAAGAATCTGATTGGGTAGGCAGGCTGTTCCAAAAGAAAGGAGCCACCCATGAGAAGTCCTTCAAGACGGAGTTAGCGAGCAACGAAAAGAAGAAGGTATCCGTCAGGGCCCAGAGACTGAGATGGGACAAATCTACGAATCAGTTAAGAAATGTAACAGGGGCTAGAGTTGTTTAGGGCTTTACAAGAAAGGGATAGTAATTTGAATTGACACCAGTGTAAGGATCGACAGAGTGGTGATGTATGGGAGGTATGATAGGAGACGAT